ATCAATTCTCAACTTAGATTAAGTTGTAGCTTAGTAAAAATCTCTTTTAAATTATCCTCTAACTAAAATTTTGTCTATTATGATAAAAGAGTTTAATTTATTTTTACATTTAAACTTGTGGTTGCATGTAGATAACATTCCAAGAATAAATTTGTCTTTCCAGATTTAAATATTAATCTGAAAATTTCCAGGATGGGAATTCTGTCAAATTTTTACTATGTATAATGAAAAGGACAGGGATTCTTTTGAGAAGAATGGAATTTGACCAAAGAGGACCACCTTTTTGGTTTTCTGTATATTTTTAATTTAAATATATGTGTGTGTGTGTGTGTGTGTGTGTGTGTGTACACACACACACACACACACACACACATCTCATGTCTATTATATAATACATAATAATATACATATATGTATAATTAGATGTCTATTGCTGCATGGCAAATTACCTCAAAATCTAGCAGCTTAAGACAACAAACTTTATTTTGTCCATTTCTGGAATCTGAGTTTGGCTCAGCTGAGTGCCTCTGGCTTAGAGTCTCCCAGAGGCTGCCATCCAGGCCAGGCCTATTATCTTCTCAAGGCTCCACTTGGGAGGATCTGCTTCCAAACTGACTCACCTGGCTATTGTCAAGCTCCAGGTCCTCTCTGGCTGTTGGCCAGGCACATCAACACCTTGGATATGGGCCTCCCACAACATGGTAACTGGTTTAGCTCAGAGTGGACCAGAGAACAAGAGAAAAGGTGTCCAAGACAGAAGACACTGTCTTTTCTGTAACCTTCTCTCAGAAGTGATATCCCATCCTTTCTGCCATATTCCATTGATTAGAAATGAGTTCACATGCAAGGGGAGGGGATTAGTTACACAAGTATGAGAAAACCAGGAGGTAGGGGTCACTGGGTTCTTGTAGAGTTAGTCTACTGTGTGTGTACATGTGTGTATATGCATGTGAATACACACACACACACACATACACACACACATACCCACCTAAATAAACCCACACATTTATAGAGATAAATAATTTATGCTTCAAATACCTGGTTGTTATATCCAACGTGTGATAAAATGAAGCATTCCTGCTAGCATAACAAGACTGTCTATAGAGTCTTGCAAAGCTGTCTTCCTTTGCTCTCCTCTCCCTGGGTAATGCCTGTTGCCCTTCACACTGTTAAAATAAACTTCATTTCTCTATCTCCAAAGTACCCTTTCATGAATCTCTCAGGTTCAGGACCAAGGCGCTATCACGCAATGCTCTAAGTCTTGCCATTTTTTGAGTTATTGGCATGGTGGTGCAGTCGGAGGTAATAGGGGAAGCATTAGTCTCTCCACAGCCCCATGGCACACGTCATTATCAGGGTTCTGAAGGAATACTGTTCACATGTAGTATTTCTTAAACTCTCTCAGGAAAGCAGCCATTTCCACTTCCTCCTTACATACCTTGTTTTCTCTCAAAATGCACACACCATCCTCCAAACTTCTACCTGTATTGGAACAGGAAGTGCTTCGGGTTTGGAAACATTCCTTTACTGTCTGGAATAGCTAGAAATCTCAAGACAGAACCCCAGCTTAACCAAATAATATAATTTTGAATTCCAAACCTGTGTTTCCTTTACTGTGATTTTACATTTTCTCCCAAGTACAGTGAGCCCCCATGTCTAAGCTCTGTCTATCACTCCAAACAGCCACTCTTTGACTACCCCTTGGGCCGAGGGGAGCACATGCCCAGAAGTGCTCCCCTAGTTACAGGGTGTGAAAAAGGTGAGGAAGGCAAGAACTCCAGGTGAGTCCATCTGCTTGGTTCATGGGATGGTGGTATTGGTGGGGGGTGAGTCCAGAGGACAACCTTAACAGGACTCTCTAAATCATGGAGCCCAGGAAAGAAGGTCCATTACCTGAAATTAGAGATGGTACTGGGTGGAAAAGTCATATAAATCATAAAAATTATTTTTATTGTAAGATTTCATTGCATGATGTCATTTAAATTACTAACCTTTCTCTCACTTTGCTTAGTTTAGACTTGACGAGTTACTGATAGAAGTTTATCCTAAGCTGTCAGTAAGCCTGCCTGACCTTATCTTTATGATAAGGGAGAGAGACATTATCTTTATTATGCTGCACAATAAAAACAAAACACAAAAAGCATCTGCCCTTCCAAGCCACTGTCTCTACCTTCCAAGCATGTTCCCTACACAAATATCCTAAAATATAGTCCTGAAAAAGGCAGTCACTGCCTCTTCTCCTAAAATGTGCAGTAACATGAAAGACTCATAGAGAATTCCATGAATTCCCAACATTCTATTGTCATTTTCATTTTGTGTAAACAGTCAAAAAACGATAGCTATAATTAAAATGTTACTTTATTTAAACTTAGAACAGTGAAAATTGTGGTGCTGTGGTCATCAAATAACATAAGAAGATATACCTTTCTTTGCATGTAAGAAGATTTTATTGTGACTGAGATATTGCTCATTCTCTGCTCCTTCTACATGGTAGAAAATGGCTGGTAATTATTATTTTATCTCATAAATATTTTTTTACTCACTTAGAAAAATAACATCCAGACTGATGACTGGAATTGTTAACAAAATTAGAAAGAGAGTTTTAAAAATTATGTAGTTTTAATGATAGCTATCATATGCACATTTTCTTCCTCATACATTTTTCACTGGGAAATTATTCTTAAAAACAATTACATGTCAACATCTCAGCAAGAATCTTCTACTCTGTGAACAATGCATACCACCTTTCTAGGAAAGTATAATTAAATAATAGATTTTTTTTTTTTTAGCTAAACTTCCAACTTCTCAATTTTACTACTGAAGAAACTGAGGACCAAGACATTAAGTGACTCAAAGGTGGCCAACAACCAGTTAATGTCATAGCTGAGACTAAACCCCACATGCCCTGACTTGGAGCACAAGCTCTTTCTTCTTTTCCAAATCCACATCCATGATATGCTAGAGCTTTCAAACTGGGGTATGCATACCCCTGCAGGCAGTGGCGGCGTGCCAGAGCGGCAAAGCCACAGGATAAACACAGGGTGTCTTGCTTCAGTGTAAATATTGCTCAAAGATTGGAGGGGAGTTAGGGGGGAACCACTTTATTTTTATATTAAAACAAGATTGATTGTAAAGGAGAATGTACCTTTTACGTGAATTTTTTAAATTTCAGGCTGGATTCCTCAGGCCATAATCCCACCCCATGGAGGTAAACGTTCTCTCTGCTCACTCTGCCTGGGATGCTTCTTTTGTGAAAATTGTGTACCATCACTGTGAGGATGTCTAGGCAGGATCTTTCATCCAAAAAGTACCTTTCCTAACCTCCGTTTTTCACATTCCATAATTAAATTTGCATTATTTTAGTCCTCATGATCAGTTAAATTGTAATTTTGGGGAGAGATGGAACACATTAAGACCTTATAAGAAATGAGTTATTTTCTTAAAAACAGAGCTGGATTTGTTTATTTACTTGTTTGTTGTTTTCTCTTCTTAATCAGTGTAAATTTTAAAGATTTAAACAAAAAGTCAAGGCTAAACATTTTAATGTGATTTTAGTAGAAATCAGCTGGCTAGTAGTTTACTTCTGTAAAAGGCTCTCAAAGTATTTTTGCATATGATTCTAAAACTCACATTTGAGTGTGAATGAAATTGATCAAGTATTATACATGTCCATGTTTCCATGTGGCTTATTCATGAATGATATCTGAAATGCTGTAACACATATTAACAGCAAAAATGGGAGACAAAAGACCAGTAAACTATCTTACACATTTTTCTTAGTGGACCATTCCTCTCATTCAATTTTTATTTATGAGATAAAAACCATTTAAATAGTAGTTCTCAGATTATTACTCTCTCCACAGTGACTTGGAGGACTTTTACCCTCCCAGCCCCACCAGGCTGAAATATTTTGTGAAGTACTAAAATAGCGTGTGCTTGATTTCTCCAGTGACATATTTTTGATGCTCTATTCTAACACTAGAATTTTTATATGCAAGTAGCCTGATTCATTTAAAAAAAAAAACTGTATTTAATTCTTAGGTTTCAAGTTCAAATTGGGAACCAAGAAACCAACTGGTTCCATTAAATCAACATTTATGGAATGTAGTGTGTCAATTCCTGACAGAAGATAGCGATGGCACAGACAGAGTCCTGCCTCCTAAGTTTCCCAAGCGAGAGGGGAACCAAGTTCATATAAATAAGATCGTAAGACAGTGTGCGCTAGAGGTACCAATAGAACTTGGGGAGACATCAAGTCTAGCTAAATAGTGGCTTATCGAACCCATTTTCTGCCAGAGGAAGGACTCCTCAGCTACTGAACCAATATGTGTTTACTGTTGGTCAATAAATTCAGCAAAGTGTTCTTTTTTCCTGGGCACCCGGAGCCTAGGGGTGCCTGGATACTGCCACCCCTATCTCCATCCCAGGACTCTAGGGTGAGGCAGTGGCCTTACAAAAATGTAAGGCGGCGCACACAAAAATCAGGAAAATAAATCTTAATGCAATGTTTTTGCAAAACATCCATAATAAAGAATTTCAAAATTTTAAGTAAAGACAGGATCAACAGAACTGATTTTTTCCCCTTTTGTCTCAAGTTCCAATAGGCTTTCACCACCCCTACCCTTCACACATGACCAGTGGTCACCAGGCACATCTAATGTTAAGAACCTAAATTTTCTGATATTCTGCTCTCAAATCAATAAAATTGTTAGTATTGGGGGTCTGCCGTTGGGGTCTGCTGACCCACTCTGGCATAGCTGATCACTCGCTCTGCGGCACCCACAGAAAGCCCCGCTCGGAAGGGAAACCACCACGTGGTGGGGCTGCAAGGACCCCACGTGCAAACGTCACAGAAGTCAGGATTTGGCTTCAGATCTCCCTGGTTTGGATTGGCTTTTAGTCGGCGAGATTGTGGTAACTGTTGGTAACAGTGGGAACAATGAGCTGCGGGCCAGACTGGGTCAGTCATAGGTGCCGCTGGCCGCCCTGGCGTCCTGATGGCCTGGGATCCGAAGCGTCCGTCCCGCTCCTCCCGACTCTCCATGAGCCTAGCGAGGGCTCCAGGACGTGCCCTGGAGGTCAGCCACAGGGTAAGAGGCACCCCCTTCCCCAGACCAAGAGCCCCTCGGGTCCTTGCCCGAAGGGCCCAGCCAGTCTGAGGCTGCCCCAGGGGTCTGTGGCGGAGGGGGTGGAGCATTGGGACCGCACGCTTCCACTAAGGACTGGAGGCTGCCCCTGATACACAGTAACAGACGTACACTGACCTCTTCCTACTCACCACCTGCTGCATATATAATTATGGCAGTTTAGAAAGGTAACAGAGCCGTACATTTGGGCCTTGACTCTCCAAAATTATATATATCCCCTAAAATGTTGTCCCCCTAAAGGGACAAACTGAGGAGGGAAGGTTCTCTGAGGAATCATACAAACAGAGTTGAAGGCAGTTAAGATAATGGCTTAAAGAATAAACTCCAGTGAGGAAAAATGTCAAAAATAGGCAACATGGGAGCTAGCAAAGGGTCCTAGAGTTCTGGAACTTGTCTGCAAGGGCTGGGGACTCCCAGGAGTACAAAGCCCAGAGTTCTGTAATGAGCTGAAGGCTAAGCCCTAACTATCCGGTGCTGCATGTGTGGTGCATGACGCTATAGGAATGTATCTATTATTGCAGTACGTAAACCGTCAAAGAGAGGGTAGTTCCTTCTATGGATTGAAATACACATAGATTAAAAAGCCCACGATTTTCAAACTTTTTTCTCTTTTCTCTAGATCCTAAGGTGTCAGGCAGTTGAGGAAGCTGCTACCATCCTCCCTGTTCTAGAACTGCCCACACCCCAATTCTGTGTTGGATTGTTTTTTTCCCCGGTCTGTTAATCAGTTCATTTGAAATCTGACTTTTCCCCCTCATCAGGTTACTGACATTGCTTCACAAATTCAATACCTTTTCTGGGTAATATCCTCTTCCACCCTATGCAACTGCAGGTTCAAATTCTACCTTCTTGAAATTCACTCTCTCAGCTCCTATTGTCTTTTTGTTTCTCCTAACTCTACAACTGTCCCTCTTCTGTTCCCTTACGAAACTTGCCTCCCTTCTCCTCTTTCTAAAGGCAGATACCTCACAAGAATCTTACCTGGGCCCCACTCTCTCCTCTGGGCTGACCTGACTCGCCAGGCTGTACCTACTCTGAAATCTCTGGTGAGATCCCTCGTCCACTTGTAGCTCTCTGCTGGATACCTTAGCCTGTTTGTTCCACCAGCGCCTCAGACCCAGCATTTCCAAGCTGAATTTGTCCTCTCTAACCAATAGTCACCTTTATCATCATCATGTTACCACATTACCATCATCACCTGGGACTCCCCTGGCCTTCTTCTCCACCTCCAGCTACTTGCCAGTTCCCCTCTGCTCTCTCTGCACATCCCATGCCAGAGCTGTTCACTGCTCATTCCCACTTGCCACTATCCCAGGGCAGGCTCATCCGCTCTTGCTTTGATTTTCCAGAGGCAGCCTTGCTTCCTGTCTGCACTTCTCTGCACCCGAGGCCATCATGCATGTCACTGCAAGTCATCTTCCTGGGGCCTAGTTTTTTTTCCACATTTTTTCTCCAGTTTAAAAATTCTGTCTCCTATTTCCCTATAACTGCAGAATTGAGTCCAGTGATTTTAAAATAACTTGATAATGGATATTGTTAAAAGCATTGATGTAGTTGTCTTGGTAAAAATCAGAATCTTGTTGGACTTACACTGATTTCACCATGCAGTTAGTATATATATTTCATATACATGTGCATATATATGTATGTATATGTATATCATGAAATAAAATTAATTTTAAATGGTAAATTACATAAACTATGTGATTTTAAGTTAGAGTTCTTAGGCCTGTAAAGTTTTGCTTGCACGCTAAGTATACTCTTTGAGCTTAAATTTCAAAGTTAGCACAAATAATATGACCCCAAATCATCTTTCTTAATTTATTTCTCACAGTTGCCTTCCATTGTAGCCAAAGGCTTCACAGCCCCGTACTCTTCAAATTTTCTTCCTCACATCTTCTCTTTTGTGTAATTACTTCTCTCTGACTAAAACATCCACCCATCCATATCCTAGTTCTAATTTATCCTTGCCCTTTCAAGCCCACCCCAACTGAAATCTCAGCATTCCCAGGCTGAATTCACCAGAGTATATTTGGTGAATTGTCAGAGCCCTTAACAACCTTCCTTTGCAGTGTTTGATGGATAAATGGGCAGATAAGGTGTAGTTCATACATGCAATGGAATATTATTCAGCCTTAAAAAGGAAGGAAATTCTGACACACACTACAACATAAATGATTCTTTTTAAAAATATATATTTTATTGATTTTTTACAGAGAGGAAGGGAGAGGGATAGAGAGTTAGAAACATCGATGAGAGAGAAACATTAGCTGCCTCTTACACATCCCCTACTGTGCCTGCAGCCAAGGTACATGCTTTTGACTGGAATCAAACCAGGGACCCTTGAGTCTGCAGGCTGACGCTCTATCCACTGAGCCAAACCAGTTAGGGCAACATAGATGATTCTTGAAGACATTATGCTAAGTGAAATCAGCCAGTCACAAAAGGAGAAAAACTTGTGATTCCACTTCCATGGGGTACTCAGTGTAGTCAAATTCATAGGAATGGAAAGTAGAAGGGTGGTTGCCAGGGGATGGGGAGGGAGGAAATGCGGAGTTAGTGTTTACTGGGTGCAGAGTCTCATTTGAGAAGATGAAAACCTTCTGGAAATGGATAGTGGAGATGGTTGCACAGCAATGTGAATGTGCTGAACTGTAGGGTTAAAGTAGTAAGTTCTATATTATGTATGTTTTACCACAATAAAAAAAAAAACTCTCTCAGCGGAAGAATGCTTGTTGTGCTTCTTTAGATGAAAGGAATATACTGCTAATGAAGTTGTGTGTTGATTGGGAATTGGAGCTGTTCCACAGTGGAGTCACTGAAACTTGAAACCTCTTGGCCCATCTTTGTGTTCTTTGGCACTTTGGCATTAATACATGATTCCAGATTCATAGGAAATTTTTGGTTGGAAAGAAACATATCATGATCAAAATCTGTGTAAATAAATAATTGATTACGCCAGTGGTTTCTGAATTATGCTGATAGTTTCAATTTCCCTTTTCATCTCTTAATTTTCAAAACTGAATTTAAATCCTTAATCATTCTGTGGCTAAACTTTTCAAAATGCGTATTAATCTCTGATTACTAAATTAATATGTGCTTATTATAAAATATTCAAACATTATTAAAAAGTATATTGTTTAGAAAGTGAAAGCTCCCCCATGATCTCAAGTGATAACTGTTGTTTACAACTTGGAGTGTGTGTATTTTATGTGCATATAAGTGTATAGTAATGAAAATATTGTTACTCTTTCACATATCCTGCCAATGGAATTGTTACTTAAAAATACATTTCTGATATTATTATATGATCAGATATCCATCTCATATCTTTAAGCTACTGTGCAGTATTCTATTGTGAAGCTACATCTTAATTTAAATCATATACCAATTAATGGGACATATATCATAACTCTGATAATGTATGCTGAGGTGAGCAATGATATTCAATTTTGTGTGTGTGTTTGTGTACCACTGTGTTTCTGAGTGCTAGACGTGGAATGACAGAATCAAGTTAAAAGCACATTTATAATTTTAATAGGTAGCTGATAAATTTTAATTCTACCTTGGCTGGCCTTTAACATCCCAAATACTTTGGCAAAGTTGCAATTGACCATATATAAGCTGAAGGTTTAGATATTTCAGTTAAAGTACCCAGATGAAGATATGTAAGCCTGATGTATTGGGTTTTTCCAATTCCCAGATGCAGCTTGCTTGTTAGAGTAACAAAATACCTTGATGGAAATGCCAATACCTGATCCAATGAACTCTAAGCCTCAAGATTCAGCTTGCATAACAGGGTAACTAAGAAAGTTTAGGACAATAAATTAGCAGCTGTTCCCCATCCCTAGGATATCTACCTTCATCACTTCTTTAGATATGTTCTCATCCCATTAAATCTAACTCCTCTTAAAGTCCTCTACTAAATAACAAAACCATTGTCAAAACTTCATAAATCACTTACTGACATTACAACCTCACCACCCACAACAAATCCCAGTTGAAATTTGGTGATTGTTTTGACTCTGATAATTACAATGTTTGTCAGAGTCCAGAAGTGCAATGACTATACTTTCCATTTTTGTTGTGTCTTGTTAGGTTTATTCCTTCATGGAAAATTACAGACAGGCTTTAATTTTTCCATATAATCTTAGGCCATGTGGCCTATAAATGTTATTTTATAATTTAGCAAAGGACCACAAAAGAAAAACAAAGTACCTAACTAGTTGTTGTTGGATTTGTATTTTCAAAACAAAGCTTATGGGAATAAAAATTGCTTCTTCTTCACCAAAAATTCCCACGGTGCAAGATGTTAGTAATTCATGAAAATTAAAGACATGATTTCTTTGCAAAGAAAGGGCAATGACATTTATTCACTCGTTCATTCATTTGTGTGACAGTTATTGAGAATTTACAGGGTGCCAATTCCTGTATGGAAATGTACATTATAGTCCCTTCACCTCCAACCTTGATGTTGTCTTCTGTAAATATGGAAAACCTACCAAATATAAATTCTTTGTGTTTGAAGGAACATTTAAGAATATTTAAAGACTAAATCACTCTACCTCATAGAGAATGAAAACTTGTTTTTGGAGTATATGTACACATATTTTTTCTCTTTGATTAAAAATTATTTAACACATCTGTGCCCAGGATTAAGGATAATGAAATTCAACCACAAAAATGATTAAATAATATATAATTGTAGTGTTGGAATTTATCAGTTTAGAGTGGTTGCCTCCATATTCACCTTTCCTTTGATCTCCTTGTAGACCTTATTGTTATTGACTTCAAATGTCTCCGTATTTTTGCTCAGTGGAATGTGCCTTGACAGAGTAATTATATGTTATCAGGCAGTTGAAGATCAACTAAAGATATGTGGCCACAAGAGGGATGTTGATGTCTTTGAGCTGTTCCTTTCTCAAAAGTAAGTGAACTTTAGGTAAGAAATAGAAGAGCATCGATTATAATGTTTCACAGATTCAAATGTTCTTTTCCAGTCCTACCTCACCCCCACTCACTCCTATCCAAAGACTGGATGGGAAAGTACCACACTCTAATTACTTTACCACTTATTGGAGTCACAATCTCTATTGGAGAGGCAGAACAGTGAAATGGATGAGAACAAAGATTATGGAGCCAAGCTAAGTTTAATCCCAGTTCTGACTCTTCCATCTGGGTGATCTTTGTCAAGTTTAGCAAAAAAAACTATGGAATATACAATTATATATGAACTAGAGGCCCAGTGCACTAATTCGTGCTTGGGTGTGGGGTCCTGAGGAGGGGTGGGGGTGGAAGTGGGGGAGCCCAAGACACAATCGGCTCTCTGGGCAAGTGGTGGGACACCCTTGCTGGCCGGAATCCGACTCGCTGACATTTTCTGACATTCCTGCCGGTTGTCAGGAGCCACTTGGCAGCTGCTTTTATATTGTTTCTTCCTTATGGAGCATCTAGGGAGGGGAAGTGGCCACAGTGCCCAAGGCTGACTTCCAGGAGGTCATGCCAGTGGCACTGGTCTGTCAGTGCCTGGCCCATTCTCTGGAGATTGGACCTGCAGGACTACTGAGGGAGTGAGTGACTGCCACTGGGCTAGTGGGCTGCAGGGATGAGTTGGTCAGCTCAGTGGTGCTCCTGCTGTGGGAGCGCACTGACCACCAGGGGGCAGCTCCTGCATTAAGCATCTGCCCCCTAGTGGTCAGTGCATGTCATAGCAACCAGTCAACCAGTCATTCAATCATTCGGTCACTTAGGCTTTTATATATATACTAGAGGCCCGTTGCATGAAGATTCGCGCAATAGGCCTTCCTTCCCCTGGCTGCTGGCACTGGTTTCCTCCTGCACCTGGGACCCAGGCCTTTGCTCTGGCCGCAGCAGCGAGGCTAGGCTTCTCCACTCTGGCTGCAGTGGAGAAGCCAGGCCCGAGTGGAGAAGCCAAACCTCTTCAGTCTTCAGTCATCTTCAGTCTTTGCTCAGTGCCTGCATATGCAAATTAACCGCCATCTTTGTTGGGTTAATTTGCATACTCATCCTGATTGGCTGGTGGGAGTAGTGGAATGACATCAATTTGCATGTTTCTCTTTTATTAGTGTAGATAGATTTTATTTTATTTTTTTTTTAAATATGTTTTTTTTTTAATATATTTTATTGATTTTTTACAGAGAGGAAGGGAGAGAGATAGAGAGTTAGAAACATCGATGAGAGAGAAACATCGATCAGCTGCCTCCTGCACACCCCCTATTGGGGATGTGCCCGCAACCCAGGTACATGCCCTGAACCGGAATCGAACCTGGGACCTTTCAGTCCGCAGGCCGACGCTCTATCCACTGAGCCAAACCGGTTTCGGCAATTAGTGTAGATAGATTTTAGAGAAACAAATGAATATATATTTTTAGGTTAAGTATGTCCCACGCTGCATTTGCTGTTACTCTGAAATTCACAAACTGGGTGTCCTATATTTTATCTGGGAATCCGATCACCTGTATACATATAACAATACTACCTGCTTCACAGGATTGTTGTGAGGATTAGGTGAATGAGTAGTTGGGGAGGGCCTGGTACACAGTAAGTATTCAATGAGCATTAGTACAGTTAATATGATTACTACTACTAGAGAAGAATGACTCATTATACCCGTATACTATAAAAATAACTCCTACCTAACAATCCCTATACTGTTATTGGTAAGTGGGAAAACCTCTCCTTTTTATAATAACCTTCTTTGATTCCACTCCAACTCCCCAAGGTGGCACATGGCAAAAGTCACTGTGCTCTGCAGAGCAGTCACCATGCCTGAGATAGATGCCAGGAGGAGGGGGAAGGAGAAGTTGTGGGTTGGATTGGACTCTGACAGTACAGTGTGTACTAGCCAAGTGACACCTGTGCAGTCAGTTTGCATTTCAATAATGATGACCCTATTCTTCCCTTCAAGCTTTTTAATCTCCGTGACTTTTATGCATTTTTTTAAAATAAACTTAATAAATTTCTACTCATATGTAATTTATGGAACTCAGTTACTCTTTAAAGATAATGTTCTGTTTGCTCTGGCCAGGTGGCTCAGTTGGTCGGAGCATTGTCCAGTGCACCAAAAAGGTTGTGGGTTAAACTCCTTGTTAGGGCACAGAGAGGACGCAACCAATTGATGTTTCTCTCTCCCCCCACCCCTCTCTTTCTCTCCCTTCCTCTCTCTCTAAAATCAATAAAAACATATCCTTGGATGAGGATTTTTTTTTTTTAATGTTCTACTTTATCAATGAAGTTAATCACTTTACCTCTGGTAATTGAAGGAAATTGTTTATTAATAAACATGTTTCTTTTTGTTATATATAAATATTTTTTTAATGTATTAGTGCAGAGAAAAAATATTTATCTTTGCTGTGGCCCTGAATCTCTTGGAAGCAAGGGAATAAATAACTGGCCAATTTAAGATTTTTAAATATATATTTTATTATGGAACAGGTATGGTAGATAATTCTGACACACTTAGGTCATGCTTTGAACCTTTCTATATAGATTAGCTACTTTTACAACAACAATCAATATTTTATGTGATCAAATGATGGCACCTTGGCATTTCATGATTTTAACAACTGTACACTATTGACCTAACGGGTAAGTAGATAACAAAAAAAAGATTTAAAGCATTAGGAAAAAATTAGAAGTATTTATCTTCTGACAGTGGGTAATTAGTGGTCTTCTCAATTAAAGGACAACACATTTTTTATCCTAAGTTTTCCACTTAACCCATCTGGGTACAAAAAAAACAAAACAAAACCAAAAAAAGTTGCACAGTCCAGATGCCAGTAAACTGGGTTATTTGCCTGTCTCTGTTGAGCTTGGAAAATGGAAAGCATCTTACCAATGACTCCTGGAGAAATCACTGAGAACACATACTGTGGCAGATGTTCTTTAGAGAATACCAGCTACTGAATGTAAAAAGGAGAGGATGACAGGTCAGCATTTTATAATACCAAATCTACAGATTCAGGCAAAGTCACCCAGAGAAGCTAAACCCATTGAATAAATAGTTATTAAGTAATGAGATAGACACATAGTCTCTGAGTTTTGCCCCACATATTACTTTTCAATGACAAAATTTGTACTTTTTATAGTGGAGAGACCTGGCAGATACAGGCTTAACCCAGTAACTGACCTTTTAGCTTCACCAACAGTGGGACAAGCAGCAGCATTTGTCTCCCGATGTGATGCGGTAATTACCTCCTTTGTTACTGAAAAATGGTCTACCTTAGATTTAATCATGAGGACGTAACCAAGCAAATCAATAATGTGAGACATTCTAGCATACAGCTGTCCTGGACTCTTCAAAAGTCAATGTTAAGGGGAAAAAAGAAAAGTGGCTGCTCTAAATTTAAGACTCTGTGATTTTACCAACTGAAAAAGCCATGTATGAGTGTTGATAGGGTTATGGATTGAAACAAACTATAAAATATAGGAGGCAACAGGGACAATTTGAATATGAACAGTATATTAGATGATATGAATGAATTCAATCTCATTTTCCTAGGTGTGATAATGGTATTGTGGTTATACAGGAGAATGTCCCTATTTAAGGATGTGCTTGAAGAATTTAGGAGTGAGAGCCCTGCAATAATAATCTGCAATTTATTTTCAAATGATTCCCCCAGGAAATGATCAACCAATAAGTAGATATGTTATATAGGTAAGAGAGGGTGAGTGGCAAAAACATTAAAAATGATAAGTGCTATATATGCATTCATTATATAATTCCTTCACCTTTTCTTAGATTTGAAAGTTTTCAATATAAAAATTTGATAAGAGGGGCTTCTCTTGTTTAGAAGTGTTTGCATGATTTAAGAAATATATTTGCTTAAAAAATTAGGACAATAATTAGTCCCTCAGTGTCGCTTGGTTAAAGAAATATAAATGTGAAAATATGTTGCCACATGAGTTAATGTAGGTAATATTAGTTAACATTAATATTTTTAAATTGCTTAGAAAGTGCCTGGCACACAGGGTATGCTCTATACATGTGTGATAGAGACATCTGTGTGCATACTGAGCCTGGGCCCACAATTTCTGCCCTGAGAAGTAGAAGAGATCTGAATACCTCAGCCCACAGCCGCCACTCACTGGCTTTGCCTCTTTGCTGACAGCTCCCCATCCACAGCCATGCCTGTCCCTTAGCTGAGTGAGCTGCACCAACAACAAGGCCCAGTTCAAGAAGGATGGGCAATATTTTGACCTCATCCTATATAATAAAGAGCTAATATGCTAATTAGACTGAACAACGGAACAACCTTCCATACATTTTTTGGGATAACCTTCCAGACAAAGCCAGGGCTGTGAAGGCCAAGCCCCTGGCACACATTTTGTACATTGGGCCTCTAGTAGTCAATAAACAACAAAGGGAGAATAAAGCACTTTACTCTGTCTCTGTCTCTTGGTGCACTGCAATCTCCATATCTTAAACCCAGTCTGGCCAAGATCTGGGCAAACCCAAAGTAACAAGCCTGCAGACACTGTTGAAGCAGGAGCTAATGGCATTTCTCACATTTACCTGTGAGTTCAATGTCTGCTGCCCTTTTATCCCTCTCCCCTCACCCCAGTAAAATCGTTTCTTTAAATTGAGATTCCAATAAATTAAATCATAATGAGGTATCAATTTCTACTAATGTGATAAAATGCTCCCCTTTAAGTATTTGTTTTAACTGGCTAACAAAATCTTAATCCAAATGAATGAAGTATTAAAAATGGAAGTTTGGAAAATAACATGTAAGTGCCAACAGTTTTGAAAGGACAAAGAAAGAAGTTTATTCAGTTACTCCAAAGTCGTACTATAAATAGCCTGCCTTACCTACAACTGAACTAATCATTGCTAATATTTACTTTCTTTTTCAGGGAGCTGACAGATGTTATTGATCTTTCTAGGTTTAGAAAATTAAAATACTTATGGCTGCATCATAACAAGGTAACATATTTTATCTCTAAATGTCTCTATAATTAAGTTTTAATAGAGCTAATTTTTAAAAGTATTATTTTCTATACCTAATTTAAACTTAGGTGAGAAAGTTTATATGCATATATGTATGTATTTGAATAGCACAGTTTGCGAGATATTATTATACCACAACTTCTTGTGTCTCCATGTCCTGTCAAAGCTGTTCAGAGGAGCTATTCCTTCCAGTCCCATGGCTTTTCTCACCTCTCCTATGTCATTAGAAATCTTACAGTTCATTTGAATTATAGTCACAGTTCAGAAATAAGAATGTCTAGGAGAATATATTAATCAACTTTTGATCTTCATTCATAAATGAAATATCCCCTCACCTTTTCTCCCATATCCATAAGCCTGGTGCCAGAGTGCCACCTGCCTTCTTTGTCAGCTTAAGGAGGTGTGATGGGTTTTCATTCCTTCTCACCTTCACCCCAATCTTCTCCATAATTGGTATGGAATCTCTAGGAATGGGGAGATGTGGAGGTAGAGGAAACGCAAGGGAGAAAGTTATTTGGTTTGCACCCTTTGGTACTAAAAAAATATTGAGTTTTTTCTCTTAATGGGTTATTGAGAAGCTTCCCTACTAGGTTACTCCAACTGTAATTCCTCTCTGCTAGCCACTTCTGACCGCCCCTCACCACTTATCCCAGTGGTACTTACAACTGAATGTCTCCTGGCCTTGACAATGCACCCTCTTGGGCAGGGTCTCTTTTATCCTGCCCCAGATCAATATTTCTACAACCGTCTCCCATGCAGTTCCCGGGGCTCACACACCTTTGTCCTGCTATCAGGGGCTAAGCGGGGGGAGTTACCCCCCAGTTGCTACCCATGCTGATCTAGCCTCCTCAGTAAGTGCCACACACTAAGCTATCATGTCCCCAGCTGCAGGGACACCCTTCAAGGTCACTGAGTGTGGCCCCTATATCTTCTCTTAGAGGCTAGCATTTAGGAGGCCACCACCTCCCCCAGAGTGGGAGCCTGGGGGGCTCTAAGCCATCTCCAAGTCAAAGAGCAGGACTGAACCAAAATGCAGACCCAGTCATTACAGTTAGCTGGTCAGTAGTTGGTTATCCTCAACTTTCAAAAATTTGAGTTTCCAGCAGCTTTCATTTTACTCATTGTAAATCCATTATACCATCTTAGCATTTTGAATTTAGACTTTCAAATGCCAGCTAAATAAAAAAAGGTTTCTTGAGTTTTAAGCAATAGTGTGCTTATCAAGCAGTAGTCCAGACTCACAGCATTGAATCTTGAAGCAGCCATGTTCATGAAAGTATTTCAATATCACATTGTATCTTCAGTCTTTTTTACAACCAAGTAAATGGAAAATGAAAGAGCTCCTAGTATTAAGTGTAAGCACAAGTCTCATAAGCTTGAAATAATTTCTAGAAGAACAAACACAAATAGCTCTGAGACCCAGCCAGCTAACGACTGAAATGGAAAGTACTTGCACTACTTAAGGGCGCACAAGTTCAAAACGCTTTATAGCACTCTGCCAAAAACCATCCTGGGTCACAGTGGACGACCTCTGGTGAGAAAAAGATGGAAATCACAGGGCATGGCAGAAGTGACTAATCTTTGTTTCTCATGTGTGCTCCTTGTGGCGTTCAGTTTTAAAGGGAAGAACATGTACAGCTGTTGGCAATAGGTCTAAAGAGAGAGGTGATTAGAAACTTTGTAATATTTTTTGGAGTTCTGGTAGTGGACACCATCCAACTTCCAACCAGTCATTGAATGTTCATGCAGTTGACTGGCAGATACGTTATGTACATACGAAGGGATTATGTATACTGTCAACTGTTTTACTCTCTTTTGTTTTTGAAGGGGGATTGGTAGGGAAGGGATGTAACAACAGGCAGTATTCATTTCTTGTACTTGATTCTTTATGTTCAACAAACTAGCTATATTATTTCCAAAATCACCATCACTTAATTTTGTTTTTAGACCTATGCACCAGGAGGTCACAAGCTCAACTCCCAGTCAGGGGACATGCCTAGGTTGCGGGCTCGATCCCCAGCAGGGGACGTGCAGGAGGCAACTGATTGATGTTTCTTTCTCATGTTTCTCTCTTATCGATGTTTCTATCTCTCCCTCTCTCTTTCCCTCTCTCCCTAAAATCAATTAAAAATATTTTTAAAAAATACTTTTTTAGCCCACATAACACTGAAAGGAGAGCATACCCAAAATAAGTTTTAAGTGGTTGTGGGTAAGTGAATAAGTTGTTGTGAGTTTTCTTATTGATCAATAACTTACTGGTTGCTAAGTTACCACACTTCATGAAAAATTAAAAAATTTTTTCAAGATCCAAAACTTTAATGGGCATATTAGCTATGATAGTACTTCCTCGGAGGCCTTTGCTTCCTCTGGATATCTTCTTGCCTGGATGTGAAGCCAGGAATCATCCTGCTAACTTGAGAATGGATCCAACATTGAGAGAAAAGCTGAGCCCAGAGAATCACTGAGAGACTAAGAGGCTGAGGCTCTCACAAGCCCTGGACTTCTTGGTGTGTGACATAAATATATGTTCTAATTTACGTGCCAGTGTGAGTTGAGCTTAGGAGTTACTTGGAGCCAGTAGCATCCTATCTGGTACAGCTTCTTCTGTACTTACATTTAGGCCATTGGTAGAATCCTAAATAATAAAAGCCCAGTGACCATAATGGCAGAATGACCAGAATGACCGCCCAACCAGTCACTATGAGGTGCACTGACCACCTCTTGGTCCCTCCCCCCAGCCCAGCCAGCAGGCTCTGATTGCCGGATGGCAAACGGGGAGCCAGGGTGGGTGGTGGTGGGAAGGGCAGGACTGGTGAGTAGGTGGAATGGCCGACCTCTTGGCCCCTCCCCCGGCCCGCAGGCTCTGATCACCACATGGCGAATGGGAAACTGGGGTGGGTGACAGGGGATGTGTGAGGTGCCAGGCCAAGGCCCCTACACTGCTGGTTGCCCCACACACAGAGGCCAACACACGGCAGGGTTGGGGCCATGAGTGGGCGGGACCAGCTGACCTCTCGGTCCCTCCCTCCCCCAGCCGTTAGGCTCCCATTGCCTGATGGCAAACTGGGAACCCGGTGGGTGGCAGCGGGGGGGGCAAGACCGGCTGCCGGAAGCCAGGGAAGATGGCCCTGATCAAAGGCTAGGCCTAGGGACCATACCATACAATTTTATGTGCCGGGCCTCTAGTTTAACAATAAATGTGATGGTACCTGTTCTAGTGATAAAAACAGGAAGTGCAGAGAGAGTGGCTGGTGAGGACATTGCATTTGCAAACTGTGTGGAGTGGAATGAGAGAAAGCAGTTGTCTTGGGAGGCAATGACTGTAGCCTGCTATGCTTGGAGCCCTGCATACTAAAAGGGTGAATACTTCTCCCCTTTAGTATCTAGTGGATGATAAACACTTCTGGTCTGACCCTGGACTAGCAAACTAAATTGGTACAGGTTGTTTCTAAGGACCTCCAATGCCCCAACTTGCCTAGGTTTGCTCAGGTGACTCTGGTTCCTTCATTATGCTCTCTGAGGGCTGGTTTCCCCCTCATACTGCATAGATATTCACTAGTTCTGCGCCTCCTCCCTTTATGGGTCACATTTTTCTAACCTCGCCTGGTTTGATAAGTGGGAGACAGCTGCACTCAGGCCATCTCAGGACTCCCTTCCATGGCCCATCTTCTAATCTAGTGGGCCTGAGTGAGGCAATTTTTGGTCCACAGTTTATCCCTTCCAACTTTTCATAAGAAGTTGAGTCTGCTTAGACAATTGATCTAAGTGATTTATTTGTCTTTTAGACTACAGTTAAGTTGTGTTCTGGTTCATTACCTCAAAAATTTTTTCAGATATTTAATAATAAGCCTGTAATATTGCTAGCACAGTGCTAGTATTTTTCTATTTCTGGAAGAACCAGCAGTACTTTGGTAGTTTAATTTGTCTCAGATTAGAATAAGCTTTTGATTAAAAAAGCAAACAAACAAACAAACAAACAAAAAAACACGGCATAATGCCTTACCATGCAGCTGTCCAAAATGGAATCTGAGTTTCTTCCCTGTAGCAAAAACCAGTTGACAAAGTTTACAAACTAAATTTAAATGAAAATACCTCTTCTAGCAAAGTCATTGCTTATAAACTTCATTATCTGAAAAATAATTGAAATACTTATTTATAACATTTTCCACGCAAGCTGACTAGAGAATGACTGGACTGAAGTAAACAAAATTGCCTTAAAAAAAGATCCTGAGCTTATTCTTCTACGCCATTATGATGTTGTTTCTCATCTCCCAGACATTAGTACATATTGAAAATTTGCTAGTGAGCAGAAACTTATGTGTTTTAGGAAGGAATATTGGTGTTCAAGACTAGTAAACCACAATTTTAAAATTGAAATACTTATTTTTAATGTGCTGTTTTAAGTATTTTCAAAGAATTCATTTTCAGGTAGTTTTCTGAGCTTTGTATCATGAATTTTAGTTGGTTCCTTTAATCAGGTTTGGGTATACATATTTTAATTGTTTATTTATACATACCCTACCTTGTTCAAAAAAACCATTTAGAGCAGCACAAACCCCATGGTAGAGTATAAGACCTGTGAATGAATAAAACGAACTAGCGTGCATTCCATATAATTTGGGTACGTGTGTGTTTCTGTTACCTCAGGGCAACATTAATTATATCCCTCATGTCAACTTTGTTAAAAGAATCATATTTTGCCAAATATTTAAAACCTCCTCAAAAAAGTAAATCAAGGTAAATAACCTAAATAAGATCTCAATGCATGGTTATGAAATTCATAGATATGTGCACTATGTATTTGGATTCTTAAAAATGATTTATCTCAGGAATGTAACCTATTTTTGGAAAAGAGCTTATACAAAAATTTTAGTAACATGGAATAAAGAAGGGAAAACATGAGAATAAAAGTCTGCTTATACTGAATAAAATATTTGTAATACATTTTTATAGTATAGATTGTATTTTTAAGTATTGTACATACTTTAAACCAAGCTACACATGAACTTTTTTTGATTAACTGGATAGGAAAACCATGAAAATAAATTTAGGAATCTTGGAAATGTATTGCAATTTTTCTTTTGTTTTTTCCTATGTAATTTTGTATATTGTTAAAATTCTCCCCAACTAATACTTAGTTTTATGTAAATTTAAGGAATAATGTAATTCCGTTATTCCAGTATACAGTAATAGATCCTTTTAAATATCACATGATTATAGAATTTTTCAGAATTTCATCGTGTTGTTTAATCACTGATCTATAGTTCTTTGCTCCTAGGTTTTAACCTTAGTACCACTGACTTTTCGAACTGGATGATTCTTGATTGTGGGGGCTGTTCTATGCATTTTTGAATGTTTAGTAGCATCGCTGGCCTCTATCTGCTGCATCTAGAAAACTTCCCCCCAGAAGTGACAACTTAAAATATTTCTAGACATTCACAAATGCCCCTTGGGGAGAGATTGCCCACCCAATTCAGTGGACATAGTGATCTATAGAAGCCTAAGTCAAAACATGTCATTCCTCTCCTCCAAACCTCCAATGATTTCCTGTTAATTTCAGCCAACTTCTTACACGAACCCTCAAGGCCCCACACAAGTAGACCCTGATGACATCTGACCTCATTCCTCACCTTCACTTCCTGGCTCACTCGGATCCAGCCACACCAGGCACTGTACTGTCCCTGGCCTGTGCACTGGCTAGACCCCAGGTGCTCCTCTTACATGCCCCTTCATCAAGAGTTTGTTCAGTCGAACCGGTTTGGCTCAGTGGATAGAGCGTCGGCCTGCGGACTCAAGGGTCCCGGGTTCGATTCTGGTCAAGGGCATGTACCTTGGTTGCAGGCATGTCCCCACTGTGGGGCGTGCAGGAGGCAGCTGATTGATCTCTCTCATCGATGTTTCTGACTTTCTATCCCTCTCCCTTCTTCTCTGTAAAAAATCAATAAAATATATTTAAAAAAAAAAAAAAGAGTTTGTTCAAGCCCGGCCAGTGTGGCTCAGTGGTTGAGCACTGAGGTCACGGTTCAATTCCTAGTCAGGGCATATGCCTGGGTAGCGGACTCCATCCCAGCAGAAGGCAGCCAATCAATGATTCTCTCTCTTGATGTTTCTATTCGTCTCTCCCTCTCCCCTCTTCTCTCTGAAATCAATAAAAACGTATTTTAAAAAAGAGTTTGTTCAAATATTACCTCGTCTTTAAGGTCTACTCTGACCAACTCATCTAGAATATAACACTACCTTAATACTAGCACTCCAAATATCTATACTTTCCAGATCCAATGAGTCTGTATGGGAAAGAATGTGAGAAATATTTTTAGAGCAAAATGTCTAAGTAGGGCCCTTTTACAGAAGCTTTGGAAACCATGCAAGTGTTGAGATATGGTAAGAGGGGTTTATATTAAATTATCTAAAAACATCCTTTATACCACACTGTCCTCAAAGACCATCGAGATGTAAATTCATAGCCCAGACCAAAGGTCACAAATAATTAAAAATAACAGTAAACATCTAATTTCTATGATCTACATAGATAAAAGCCTAATATGCAAAGTGTCCCCTCAGGAGTTCAGTCGCTCGCTATGACATGTGCTGACCACAAGGGGAAGGCTCCAGCCAGCAGCCAGAAGGCCCCGATCGGCCCTGATCACTGGCCAGGCACCGGGGCTTTAGTCTTACTATAATTTTATATGCATATGGATATATAATTATTGTAGAAAGTAAATTGTTCTCTAACTCTCATTTTCAGCTCCATGAAATAACATTTCTAACTAGAAACTATTGTCTGACAGAATTGTATCTAAACAACAATGCAATTATTGAAATAGAAGGTATGTCTAAATTTTCTCTATTGATTGAATGAATTTTCAGTTAAGTAATAACTTTTAACTTTGCCATTGCTAATGGCATGCAAAAATCTGTTTTAACATTCCTGTTGAAAATATATGATGGAATCTATTAATTTTTAGCATTATATACATTTCAAGAAATGTTCTTTTAATTACAGTTTTTAAAAATATATATATATTTTATTGATTTTTTACAGAGAGGAAGGGTGAGGGAAAGAGAGTTAGAAACATTGATGAGAGAGAAACACCGATCAGCTGCCTCCTGCACACTCCCTACTGGGTATGTGCCCGCAACCAAGGTACATGCCCTTGACCGGAATCAAACCTGGGACCCTTGAGTCGTCAGGCCGTGCTCTAGTTTTAATGCAATCTTGTCTTGTGTCTTGATATTCAAAAGGTAAATGAATATTTTTAACAGAAATTTTGCCATTTTATTGCACAGTTGGACACAAACTATATACCATGGAAACACATTTTAACAATATTTGGGAGCATTTATAAATATAACAACTTTATAAATAGTCTTAATGTTTTTTATTGGTTGTAATTTTTACCAGTCAAATTTTTTCATTATGAATTAATTTTATATGTGCAACAATCTCTAAACTGACAATTTCAAACCAGGTATAAAAGTACATGATGTACTATGTTCATGAAATATGAAGAGGTACAACACAAAACATTTTTCTTTAATATTATTATAATAGAATCAAAATGTCAAATTTTAATATCTACCATGTCCCATGAAGGAAGAAAAGTTTGCCAATTAAGGTATGATGTGGCTATCACAAATTTAGAATCAACAAAAATGATACGAATATTTGGTTCTGTATAGTGTAAAGAAAATATTTTGGGAGGGGTTATTTTTATTGTTGGCCCTATTATAGATGTTCCCATTCCCCTCATGTTCCTTCTCCATCCAGCCCCTACACCCCACCCTTCCCTCTGACCATCACCATAGGTTGTCTGTGTCAATGGGTTATGCATATATGTTCTTTGACTAATCCCTTCACCTTTGGGGAAAGATATTGAATTGAATGAGTATTCCCTTGATTGGCATTTATAAATCTAAGTAACATTGGCAAAATAGGACAAAACAAAAAAGAAAATTAAAGAAAATAACCCTTCTAAAATAAAATAAATCATTACTACAGAAAAAAAGCTGTAAAACAAAAACACTGAAAAGAAATTGATTCTACATTACCACTTTATACGCAATTAATTGAATTCTTATGCTTTGTTCTATTCTTAATGGTAATTCATAATATTATTGATAATAATTCTTTCACCAGCTGTAATGTATTCTTTTAGCGTGTTTAATTGGCATTAAAAGTATTTAAAGTCTTGTAAAAAATTTTTTTTAGGCCTGCACTATTTGCCTTCGTTGCATATACTCCTGCTGCACCACAATGAGTTAACAAACATCGATGCAACAGTGAAGGAATTAAAGGGAATGCTAAATCTGAAGATCCTAAGTATTAATTTGCACTTTTATATGGCTATAAGTTAAAATAGTAAAACACAGGACATTTTTAAATTTTCTTATTTAAATTAGATCAATAACTAAAATACTTAGATATTCCTGAAAACAAGACTAGATCTTGTTCCTTTTAAAAATATGTTTTGGAAAGAATAATAGGTAGGAAAAAAATTTTTTGTGGAATTATATGGCATGCCAAATGAAAGTGACAAAAGATGTTTTACACATTTACATCAGTGGTTTGGGTTTTAGCTCAGAAGTAAGTTTTAGCACATATTATATGATTCCATTTATATGACATGGCCATCTATCAAGAAAGCAATACTGACAGGGAACTATTTTAAAATTGATCAGTGTTTTCCCAGGGCAGGGGCATGAGGGGACTGGGATGTGACAGCTAAAGAAGTAGGGGTGTGGGGTTTCTTTTTGTGATGATGAACATGCTCTAAAATTGACTGTGGTGATGGTTGCCCAGCTCTGTGAGTATACTAAAAAGCATGAATTATGTATACTTAAAGTGGATGAATTACATTCATAAAGCTGACCCCCCACCCCAAAGTAAATTTGTATTTAAGCTTTAACTGGGTGAACAGCAAACTTCATTCATGAATACTGAATCACACCCAGCAAGAAACTGGCCTCAGTATTGGAAGGAAGCATAAGTATGAAATAGATTGGAAAAACAAATAATACACGGTTCCTACTCTCAATAAGCTTATAGTATTGGAGGGTAAATAAACCCATACACAATCGCATTACAGGCCAAACGGTTCTAGATATGCTGAGGGAAAAGACGCTCAGAACAATGAATGGGTTTTCAAACTTTAGAGTTTGAAAACTTTTTAAAATAATGTCGTGAAATGAATGTTGTTTCTCTCCTATTCATTTTCCATTCATTTCTCAAAATTGTCTGAGATAGTATTTTGAATACGTGTAAACTGATATTGATGGTGGAGGTTCTAATCAGATCAATACATTAATAGTGATCAAAGTTTTCATATATTTTCAGTGTTAATCAGTTATATGTGCTGTATTTAGGAGAAATGATTCATGTGCTTATAAGTGAATTCTTTAAACCCAAATGTTAAGATTACACCAAGTTCATGGCAATTTCATGCTTACTTTTGTGATGTGAGAAGGTCTGTGAAAGACTCAGAATTTGCTTGCAAGTTTGAATTATCTGGCCCTTCTGTGCTGAACAAATGCTTTTGTGATTAAAAGACTGGTCATGCTAGACCCGGAATTCTCACTTATCTTCACTTTTCTATAAAATGGGCTAATAGCCACTTCTCAGGATTGCTTCGACTATTCAGCTATTTCCGTAAAAGCTATTTTTTTAAAAAAGCATTTTTTTAAAATATATTTTTTATTGATTTTTCACAGAGAGGAAGGGAGAGAGAGAGAGTCAGAAACATCGATGAGAGAGAAACGTCGATCAGCCGCCTCCTGCACATTTCCCACTGGGGATGTGCCCGCAACCCAGGTACATGCCCTTGACCGGAATCGAACCTGGGACCTTTCAGTCCGCAGGCTGACGCTCTATCCACTGAGCCAAACCGGTTTCGGCTTAAAAAGCATTTTTTGACATTAATGCTATTTTGAAGTAGCAACAAAAACAAAAATTACTTTATTGTGGATTTGTTAATTAGATAATGGGTTAAGATGCCCAATTTAGAAATTCTGCTGAATAGTAAATAAATTAAAAATATAACTGACCTTTTAAATAATAATCATTATAATAACATATTGAATGTCTTTCCTGTTGAGAAAATGCTTTCTTAGAATATTCTGATTCAAATCTTCGCAGAAATCCTTTGACATAATTAGAAATATTCCCTCTTTAGTGGTGAAAATACAAGGCTCAGAGCTTTAAACAAACTACTAAGAAATGCTGAAACTTACAATTATGCCTCGTTTTTCCCCCCATTATTATTTATTCATTCATTCAACAAATATTTATCACTTATTCATTTGTTAAATGACGATTCAATGAATATTTATCATGTATCACAATGTGGCACTCTGCTAGATGGGGACACAAAAGTGAACAGAAAAGACCTTCTCTGGACCTTTATGGAACTTGCAGTTTTATGACTCCCAGGCTAAGTATTTCTTGGAGTTGAAAGGGCTTGATTCAAAACTAATTGGATAATTTGCTCAAGGTAAGAACTCAGTCTAAGCAAACTTATTTTACAATATGGAATTTGGAGGTTAGCCATTAAGGTTTCCCCGGTCAGAGTCAACAAGATAATGTGCCGGCCCCAGGAATGAGGGGGTCTCCACAGCCCCGGGCGGCTTGTCTGTGGAGTGTGTATTTGAACACTGAACTGTGTCAGTCCTGAGTGTGGCGAAGGAGTACCTTTTCTCAACCTGGTAATACAATGTCCATAGTATTACCTATCACAACAGCTTAAGAGACCTCTACTCGAAATCATAATGATGGAATTCAAGTTCTAGAACTGTAATCATTCCAACTGAGAATCTTGTAGTGGAATCATATTTTAAAATGGAGAAAATGCTGTGCCCAATTAACAAATAAAAAGCATTTTTTAAAAACTCTTGGGAGCAAGTTTGCACATTTTGAGCATTTGCCCCATTTTCATTCAAGAAATTATATGGGAAAAAATATTTGCATTTACTAAACTGATAACTGTATTTGTGCAGTAATGTCCTCAGATTTTCTATAAATCTCGTTTGCAATCACAGATTAGATTCAGCTCATTAGCTATGAGAAGTTCATGTATTTTGAAATGTTTAAATTTTTTGTCTTTCCAAGTTGTAAAACCATATAAAATGCTAAAGTGTTATTACTCCACTTCAAGTGCAAGTTCTTCCGAGGGTGAGAAGACTGCCTGAAGGTAAACCTCTAATCCATTTCAGCATGCACCCTCCACTGGCATTTCTGAGGAGAACTGCCAAGAGATGGCCCAGGAGACCCACGCCTGGGAACTTCAGGGAGGCCTGAAACCAGCAGCAGAGTGTGAGGTCCTGGAAACTGGATTCCTGACTTCCTAGCTAAGTCAGGAGGGCCCCACCTCTTCTCTCCAGGCGGTCTACCTTTCCACGCCCTCTTTCCCCAGCTCCATTTTCCTCTTCCCTTCCCAGCTCCACGCTCCTACAGCAGGCTCTGCCTGTGTCAAGGGCACACTTCCTGGCTGATGACATTCACTCACTTTCAGGCCCCTGCTTTTCTCCTGGCACAGAGGGAACATAACACCAACAGCAAGAAAGTCCTTACGTATTTGTGCTCTTAAACTTTCAGTCTCCGCATGTCTCTCCAATTTTCTCTGTTTCATTAGCTTCACTATTGGAGAGGATACTTAGATGCCGGCATTGCATAATGTTTAAGACTTGCTTCTTAGCAGAGCTATAAGGATTCACCATTGAAAACAGAGAGTGCCCTTTTCAACATAGGGTCTTCATTTCCCACAGGTTCTGTTCTTCAGCGTTTTCTCCCGCTCCTCATTGGGCAAACAGCCAGGGAATGAGGAGGGGTACTCAGAGATCAGGGTGGGGGGTACTCAGAGATCAGGGTGGGACTGCGATCGCAGAGGTCTCTTCATTTAGACCTCTTTTACCTGAAGTTGCCTTCAAGGTAGGCCCACCCCCCCAATAACAAAACAGGACAGTCCCCCACTAATAAGAGCCAGCTGGGTTTTTCACTGCTGTATGTCCTGAAGAAGAAAATATCCTGACCCCTCCACTGTGTTCGGCACTACCAGGGGTCCTCAAACTACGGCCCGCGGGCCACATGCAAATACAAATATTGTATTTGTTCCCGTTTTGGTTTTTTTACTTCAAAATAAGGTATGTGCAGTGTGCATAGGAATTTGTTCATAGTTTTTTTTAAACTATAGTCTGGCCCTCCAACGGTCTGAGGGACAGTGAACTGGCTCCCTGTTTAAAAAGTTTGAGGACCCCTGGTTCAGATCCTGCTTTAGCGGTATTCAGTGGCCACAGAGTTTAGTTAAAATAAGATGGTGATGATCATGGAGATGATGACCTTACTAAGTAACCTTGAGCCAGAACCTTAAAATCTTGGTGTCTGATCACTGGCATCTGAACTTCCTCCATGGCTGTTCTGTGTAGGCACACAATACAACTGCTTTCAGCTTCTCTCTATCATTTTCCCCATGTGTCAAAACAGATAGGTTGGTACATTATTAATTACATCAACTTCCTTCAAAGGTGGTCTTAAATACATTTGGGTTCATTTAAATTATGATTTTAAATTTTCTTTTAAAAGTTTAAGCACGTTCACTGAAGCCAATTAATTAGACGACTTTTTTTTTCTCTTCTGTTTCAATAATAAGTATATTCACACATATGACTCATGTAACTCAAGTGTGTGCAGTAAGGTAGTAGAGACATTTTGATATATTGTGTGAATGTAAATTGCTTAGACTCAGAATCCCAAATTAAGATAAGCAAGACAGTGCTGGCGCCACTGAGGTGTACTCTATAAGTAGCCTAGAGGGAAGGCGGATTAACTAGTATTAACCTATTGAAAGTGAAAGTGTAAGCAATTTTGCTTCATACTTTCTAAAGGAATGTACCCCATACATCACGGAAGGCTTTTAGAACTTTCAGACACAGGAAACCAGTTTCATATCTTAGAAACTTAATTTATGGTAATTTTAGTAACATCAATCCAAAACTCATAAATCCAAAATGTGAAATGCTTAAAAGTATAGAAGGAGAAGAAAAAAAGAAAAGACAGTTAAAAATAAGATTGCTTCCTTCTAAAATTGAAGACCTAAGGAAAAAGTGAAGAATAAAGATGAAATGCCTTTCAAATTATTTAATTTTATTTATTTTTTTAAAGTTAATTCAAGCAGAGCGTGGGCTTAATAGCAGAGTTTTCAGACTTACTGTCACTTAGCTCTTATTTTAGGATGAGATGAATGTGGAACCATAATAAGCACATCGGATTTTTAGTATTGAGACATTTTCTTAAACTAATGTAATAGCAGTAAATCCAAATCTGAAGCCAGAAGTGGGTTTGTTTTTTTGTTTTGTTTTTTTTTTTCATGTTTACATAAAGATGCTACTTAACTAAGCACTAGGAGAAAAAGCCAAGAAAAGAAATGAAATGGTAGCCAAGCCATTGTGGCTCAATGGTTGGGGAACATGCCCTGTTGCCACCTGGATCCCCAGTAGGGGGCATGCAGGAGTCAGCTGATCAATGAGTCTCTGTCATTAATGTTTCTTTCTCTCTCTCCCTCTCCTTTTTTCTCTGAAATCAATAAAAAAAATATATATTTTTAAAATAAAATAAAGAGATGATATGGTAATGTGCTCAGAGGGAAAAGAATATATGCAAGGTATACGGAAGTAATGTCACTGGAAGATGTTGGTACGTCTTCCATTAACTTCATATGCAAAGGCCAATTCTGCTCTCAGCTGCTATAATGAATGAGAGGATTACAAGGTGTCAGATATGATTCTCCAAGATAGGAACCAGAGAAGACTTTTGCACTAAAGAATATGTGACTTTTTCTCCCTCCTAAACTCTCATTAAAAACAATTGTGGCCGAACCGGTTTGGCTCAGTGGATAGAGCGTCGGCCTGCGGACTCAAGGGTCCCAGGTTCGATTCTGGTCAAGGGCATGTACCTTGGTTGCCGGCAAATCCCCACTGGGGGGCGTGCAGGAGGCGGCTGATCTCTCTCATTGATGTTTCTAACTCTCTATCCCTCTCCCTTCTTCTCTGTAAAAAATCAATAAAATATATTTTAAAAAATAAAAATAAAATAAAAAAAAAATAAAAACAATTGTGTTTCGCTTTTATGTCCTTAAAGGGTGTCCTTTTTCTATTCTCTTTCTGGCTCAAACTACAATACATGATCCCTGTGGATCTTATTAAATCTGTGCTTATTACTGGCTTAATATACATCCATTCTATTCCCTGTCCTGTAGTTATAATTATTTGTTACCACTTTAAATTCCTTCTCTTTTAAGATGAAAATTCAAGCCAGTTTTGCCCTCACTTAAGAAATCTTGAAAATTCCATTTTTTCCTCTCATTAACTCCCAATACATACATATTTTCTTTCTTTAATTTTTCTTTTTTGTCATTCTACATTGTCTTTTATGCCTTTCCTCAGTATTAAAACTTTTGTTTATGATGCACCAGGTGTCTTCCATTGCCTACCTTGAATCCTTCTAAAAAAAAAACTCATGTTTTCCCCAGGGAATAGCTATATGTAATGACTTTATTAGCCATAAACGTTTGTACAACAAATATTAGAACATTTGATTAACTACCGAGACAATGCCCAGATGATTTACTTTTTTAGTTTTTATCTAAATAGTTTATTGTGTTTTAAGCATGCCCTCCCATCTTTAGGTTGCAAAAGTGTTAATCAGTTTTTTGTGGATTTCTAATGCTTAATATTTTCATGATTTTATCAAGCCTGCTTGTATTTTATAGATAGTCAGATGCTACAGCAGTGCTGCTTAGTTTAATGTGTGCATTAAAAGAGCCTCGTTGTTGAGAGTGGACTAGTAATTGTACACTAACTGGAGCTCTTTCTGCTACTGCCATCTAGTGGTCCTCCCTAGATGTATTTTCCAGAAGTACATTTTTAAAAATTTATTTATTTTTATTTTTTTAGAAAATGCATGTAGGCAGAATTCAATAGCTCTAGATAGCCAACTGGAAGTCATAAAAGTTTTATTTTACCTTGTATTGAAAAACCCTGTTTAATACTACCTAAATAAGAATAGGGAAAATACCTTTTCCATTAAAATAAAACCTTCACAACTTCCTAGTTGAAGATTTTTTTAAATGTTCCAAATGCTGATACCTAAGGAATATGACGTCAGAAGTGCCAGGAACTCTTCTACACCCACATGCCTCCCACACCCTGCCACTGTATTAGCCAGCATGGCTCGTGAGGTGTCCCAGCATCTGTACACAGGGAATCAGAGCCCCCTGCACCTGGCCAGAGGTAGACGGGATGCAACATCCACACCTGCTCATCTCTGCTCCTGTTGAGATTGGAAGCTGCTACTGGCATTTAATATTCTGAACTATGTGCAACGGTTATTCAGTGGAGAAAGAAAACTATTAGAGCAGTGCCCAGCATCTCTGCCCATCTCTACACAGGCATCCCTGTGACTTTTGAAGCTGGAAGAAGAGAATCAAGTGAACAGATACTTGTATTTGATAAAGAACAGCATCAAGACCCCTGATAGCTAGTTCTTCCTGACTAATTAGCTTATGGATGTGTTTAAAGTTTTCTCACATATTGCAGATTTCGGCCAACAATATGTCCCCAGCATTTTGCACAGTTCCTAGTAGACAAGAAGCACTCAAAATATTTGTTGAATGAATGAACTGAACAGACAGGAAAAGTGCTCCTCTGAATAAGGAAGGTTTTGCTGAGGATATTGGTTCGGTCTGTGAAGCAGAGCTCAAGATGTCCTTATGTTTTATATGCATCCTGTGATTGTCCATATTTCACCAAGTGATAAATAAAACTAATTTTGAAATCTGACATCTTTGCAGGTCTCTACCAAAACCCTTTTTGCCAGTATAACCTGTATCGTTTATATATCATCTACCACCTTCCAGGAGTAGAGTTTCTTGACCGAAATCGTAAGGACACCTTTTTCTTGCAGAGAAATATTTGAGAGGCAGTCATAATTGAGTGATTTAAAACATCTTGAATATCTTTGAAAATAAATTTCTGTGTGAATGAAAGTTTTAAGATGATTGTTGAAAGGTTTGCTCTATGAAACCTGCCCGACTTTAGGAATGTATGCCTCTTGACCACTGTCTTGGAAAGGTCATCTAATTGAGTGTGAGGCTAGGTCTCTGGATTCTGCTTTAGACACTAGTGTCTAAATCATTTACCCACTGGTATCTTAATTTCTTATTTCAAAAATGAGAGAACTGGACTAAATCTCTTAACATCTATTTAAGTTCTAAAAATCATGTACTTTGAAATTCTGTAAACATATATATTAAAATGCATATAATCAATGATAACTTCTTTATGAATATATCATTAAACATTGTAGATAAACCAGTATGTGTGATTCATATAAGCCACAAAAATGGTCAGTGCATTACGTTATACATTTTCAGAGGCCTGCTTTATCCATCTGTCTACTCACAGATTTCTGTCTCTAGGTTTGAACATTCTTAATAATTACTCAGCACCTTCTTAATGAGGATTTATCAAAACCTATGTTTATGCCTTCTCTTCCCTTAGCCCGGAGGGAAGGAGGGATATATCAGAGTTGTGATGTCAGTCATCCATGGTGATGTGTTAGAAAGGGCCTGGGAGACGTTAGGGTTGATCATGCCTATGACCTGAGGGGCATATATTGGGCTCTTGTAAGATTATGGGAATGACTGTGATAGCCCTTCACAAGTTAGTTTTGACAAGATGTTCACATATAGTAATTCAGATAAAAATACAGGTGTCCCCCCAAAATGTATACTTTAACAGTTGTTAGCTCAATTTTAAAAACAAAATGTGTTTTAATAAACACTGCCTTTATAATTATTCAAAATGTGTGTATACATTTTTGGGGGACACCCTATATTTTTGAAGATGTTCAAATCTGTTTTGAATTACTCTGCATAACTATTTATAATGCTATGCAATAACATTACTTTTTGCATTTATTAGAAGTTACAGAAAAAGAAAGAAGATCAATGATTACCATTTTTAACCATAAAAAGGCTCATATTCTTCAATCAATAGCATTCAGAGGAAAAGTAGATGCCTCATGGAATCCTAGATCACCTTTTAAGCAAAAACCAGCCAAGACAGTACCTACAGGTATTTTTAAAAAAAAAAAAAAAAGAAATTATAATTTCTCAAACTTTTGGGTAATTTGATAATAATAGTAACTGTAATTTACAATAAGTAAAATACCAACACAGTGAAACAAATATTTTTTAATTTATTTAGTCAAATTAAAGGGATATGCAATTCTTATCTTCATTTACATATATTAAATTAAATGAGATAATATAATAATAACAAGATATTGCACTGAATTCCTCACCCCAGTATCTAGCACAGTATAAAGGGATCAATTAGTAAGCTACAGTTGTTATTATACCACTATCACTACACAGTTTCACCAATTAAGGCTATAAGTTTTTGATAATATAGGAAACACTAGAGGCCCGGTGCACAAAATTCAGCCCAGCCTGCACCCTCTTCAATCCGGGACCCTTTGGGTGATGTCTGACTGCCAGCTTAGGCCTCTGGGGATTGGGCCTAAGCCGGCAGTCAGACATCCCTCTCACAATCCTGGACCAGTGGTTCCTGAGCACCCACCTGCCTGCCTGCCTGATCACCCCTAACTGCCTCCCCGCCAGCCTGGTTGCCCCACACAGCCTGCTGCTCAGTCATTTGGTCGCCCTTCACTAACCCCCCTGCTGGCCTGGTCACTCTACACAGCCTGCTGCTCGGTTGTTCATTCAGTTGCAATGGTTACTTAGGCGTTTCTATAGATAGATATTCAGGAGAAATAAAGATCATCATGATTTCTCCACCCAGAAATAAGCAGTTAATATTTTGGTTATTATATGCAAGTATAACAAATATATTCTGATATTTTATTAATTGGAATTAATTTCTTGTATGTAACAAATCCAACTGTAGTGATTTACACAAATAGAGGTTTATGTTTCTCACATGGTAAAGAAGTACAAAGGTAGGGTTTCAGGTTAGTGTAAAGTTCATTGATGTCATTAATGTTCAAGAATGTAACTATCTTTTATTCTACTATTCTTAGTGTGCTTTATGGTTAGAAGGTGGCTACTGCACCATCAGGCATCATAAAGAGGGATTTAAAAAGATACAAAGACAAAAACCTTTTCCTCATGACACTTTGCAAGCATACATTTGAAAATGAAAATACATTCTAGAACAGATTTTCTAAAAACAAGGGGAAAAATATGAAATTGGAAAAGAGTTTTGAAGAAATTACCCAGAATGCAGCTGAGAGAAAGGTATAGAAAATTAGCTGTTGAGATAAGCAAATATTAGAAAGATAAGGTTCAATGTAAGTTTAATAATCCTGAAGGGAGAAAAACATAGATAAATTGGGCAGAAGATAATGTTTGAAGTAATAATGGTGAGAATTTTCCAAATTTGGTAAATGATATAAATCCTTAGATTCATCAGACAAAATTATTCCAAAGACATAAGACTAATAACAACAAAAATCCACATCAAAGGCAAAATTATCTTAAAATAGAGAGGAAATGTAAATTTACCTACAAAAGAATAATTTGTAGATTCACAACAAGCTTCCCAACTGCAGTTATGGAAGTCAGAAAATAGTGATCTAATACCTTTAAAATGCTAAGGAAAAGTAATAGTCAACCAAGAATTTTATAACCAGCTAAATTATTATTAAAGACAGAGCAAGAAAAGAAGAAAAAAAAATGAGGGCAAAATCGGGACTTTTCCCTTAACTATTGTGACATTTTTTAATATAGAAAAAGTTGAAAGAATGTTAAATACCTGTTTATGCCCATGTATATTCAATAGTAATATTCTGCCATATTCACCAACCTCCATTTAGACTTTGCCTTATGTAAACTGGAAAAATAAAAGTATCGTTGAACCATTTAAATACTTCAGTCACAGACATTATGACATTTCACTCCTAATTTGGCCTGGAAATTTTAAAATGACATTATCCTATAGAGCCACAATGCCATTATCACATCTAAGAAAAGTAACATTTGTATTATTGAATATGTAATCCATATTCAAATTTTCCTAGCCCTGAGATGGCTTCCATAGCTGCTTTTTCAAGCCAGAATTCAGTCAAGATTCGTCATTACAGTGAGCTATTATGGCTCTTTAATCTCTTTTAATTTAGAATGGATTCCAAAATTGTTTCCCCAACTTTTGACTTTTCGAAGAGACCAGGCCAGTTATAACAATGTAATTTGCATGATTGTTTCCACCAAGTGTCATTTAACCTGTTGCTTTATCCCTATATGTCCCATAGAATAGAAGGAATGCCTGGAGGATATGTTCTGGATGCAAAAGAGTATAGTGTAAAGCAGTGGTTCTCCAAGTGTGGTCCCCAAACCAGCTGCAGCAGCAGCACTTAACAACTATTGGTTACAAATGCTAATTCTTGCCCCAGATGAGAGCTACTAAGTCAGAAATTACTCCAGGTTGGGACCCAGGAAGCTGTGCTTTAACTAGCCTTCCACGTGATCTGTGCATAGTACAGTTAGAGAACAACCAGTGCAGAGGCAAGAGCCCGAGCTTTGAAGTCAGATTCCCCTGGGTTTGAGCACCGTCTCTGCTAGTCAGTCAAAGTGGTATTTTGGACATTAATTTGCTTCAACTTTCTGATCTGTGGGGGACTTGAGTTGGCACTTGTGAAGGGAAGGATGCCATGAGCTCCTCTCTTAAGGCAGAGGCTGCGTGCTCCCTGCTGCTTATGGATTGGCACGAGCTCGCACTGTGGGCTTTGGTGGCCTAACAGGTGCTGCTACATTCCATCTCTAGCCTGGCACTAGGTCTTCTGAAGAGGAATAAACAACGCAATGACAGTCTCTGCAAGATACCAGAAGAAGGCCAAGCTTTGAGGACTAGCTTTTGAGCGCCAGGGCTAGGGAAGATGGAGATTCTTGTGATCTAGGATTTGTTTATTCCATTTCTTTGAAGTTAATGCCAAGAATCCAAATGGTTTAAACTGCCCTAAATATTTCTCCTCATTTGGTCTATTATTCCATTTGTAAATGCATGTGCCTATCAAAAAAAAAAAAAAAAAAAGATCTGTTTCTGTACTTGAGACTCAGTATCTCAATGATAAAAAATTCCCACTTGGATTCTATTGTTAAATAAATTGATTAAGCATTCTGTCCTCAGAGTTTTGAGAAGTATATTGCATTTACAAATCTGCCACAAAACCTAAGACAAACCAAAGACATTATATCTAAGAGACAGTTTCAATGTAGGGTTTGGTATCAAGGTTTATTTGTTTTTGATGGATTGAATTATTCATTGAAATTCTTGCTCAAAAACCAGAGACCTGTGCTCTTGACTTTTTCTCTACAGCACTGCTCAATTGTTTTAAAATGCTAAGTAAACATTTGAAAGATACTAATTTAGAAATTATTTTTTTTAGATTTTGCATTTGGGAATAGTGTAGACAAGTAAGTGATTTTAACTTCATTATTGGATTATTTATTTCATAATTCTGCTGACCCACCTAAATTACTCCCACTTCCCAAAGTAGATTTTAAGTAAATAAAAAAAAAAATGACTATCTCTTCAATAGATAGAAAAAAATTGCTGTCTTTCTTTGATAAATGAGTTCAAGCTATGTATTCATATTTGACATATTTACACTTTAATGTTATTTTTATAACCTAAAATAAATGAAAATGTGCTGGATTTGTAAAAAATTAAAACAATAACTATTAGCTATTATAGATGAGAGTCTTTATCTTTTTTGTTTACTGTTCCCCTAAATATGCCCAGTGACAGCAATTATTAATATTTTATACTCACTGGAATTTACATTTTCAGAAGCAAATACTTCATCAAACTATGAAAAATATTTCAAATTTGTGAATATTGATGAATTTAAAAATCATTGCTCTCTTTTAATTTTTAACTTAGGAATTTTGTTTTAATTCAGTGTTGAAAAATATTATCCCCAAGCACATTTATAAAATATAGCACGATATAGGAACTATTCCAACAAAATATATACAAAATACTAATATGCATACAAGATCTAGAAATAGTTTAATCCTTTCATTTAACACTGGTTTAAAACATGAATGTATACATTTGTGAAACCTAAACTGTAATAGCTGATCCCAAATATGGTCAAAAACTCTATTATTAAAATAAACAATATACATAATAAAAATAGCATTACTTCTCCTGAAAGTCATTTGTCAGTAGAGCCCAAAATATATTTGTTAGTGGCACTATAGAAAATGTGGCATTGATATATTTAAATTAAAAATTCATTTTGATCTAATTGACATTTTTCTGACATAATTGCCATTTTTTCAGAATTGTGTTTGATGACCCAGAAGATGCTGTTTTTGTCAGGTCCGTGAAGAGATCAGCGATGGCTTTTACCTCTCTGAACTGGAATACAGTTCCCAAACGGGAGGAAAAATACCTCGAAGACAAAGGTGCAAAACCTGCTCAGATGCTCACAATTACACTGAGATAACCCCTGGTATTTCTCAGAACCCTGATGGTTATCAGTTGTGTATTAAACTTCTCCATGATTAGCATTGTTATTATGACGTTATTTGAAACATTTAAATAAAAACATAAACGCTATAATGAACAACATAAATTGATAAACAAAAACAGATCCAGAGACAGAGAAGCATCGATCAGACCATCAAACCTCAGAGGGAAAGTAGGGGAGGGTGAGGGTAAGGGGGAGAGATCAATCCAAGGACTTGTATGCATGCATTTAGGCCTAACCAATGGACACACAACAGGGCGGTGAGTGCATGGGGCGAGGGGAGGGGGGTCCATTGGGGGGATAAGGACACATGTAATAACTTAATCAGTAAAGAAATTTAAAAAATAAAAAAAAACGCAAATAATGAAAAATTCCTACATTTGATGTTATGTTTTCGTTGAGGTAAAACGTGTATATAGAAATGTATAGAAATCATAAGAGCTCAACTCAGCAAATTTTCAAACAACGAACACGTCCATGTAACTGGACCAAGAACTAGAACATTGCCAACGCTCTAAAAGCCTCCTCGTTCTTGTCACCAGTACTGTTACTCATTACTACCCACACTTCAAAAGTAATCCCTGTCCTGATTTCTAAAGTGTACATGAATTGTGTCTGTTTTTGAAAGGCATATTAATGGGATCACAGAAGTGGCATTATTTTTTGGTCTGGCTCCTTTTACTCAGCATTGTAAAATTCACCCATGTTGTTGCTAATAGCAGTAATTCCATTGTTCTCATTGCTGCACAGTCTTGCATGGTATGATTATACCACAATTCGCTAATCCAGTCTGCTGTGTTGGAGGCATTTGTCATTTGTATGTGGGCTAATAATCTGAGCTTAGCCTAGCCAGAAGAATGCTACCAGTGGAAGGAGAAACTAGAAAAGCTTTCAGCAGTTGTGTGGGACTGAGACACAAAACTGGACGGTTAAGGTAACTCAAACACATCACTGGTTGGCTCTGAGATAAAGAGCAATGATCCAAAGCTTATAAAAAGCAGGGTGACATTTCCCCCTTCGCTGGTGCTTAGAACCACCACATTCTGTTACATAGATTTAGAGGGTGCGGCAACATTCGGTTTACAGTTCTTCATGTGGAAAACAATACAATAATTAGTAAATAATAATACAAGAATAAACTCTGTTTTGCACACTCAGAGCTGGAAACCTGCTTTTGCCTCACCTTGACTGTAGAAGTGGGCTGAGATCAGCATGGGCAGGGGATGGGAGCCTGGAGGGAGCAGTGAGCTGTCAGTGGGAATCTGTAACCAACATTTACCTGTGGGCCCCTAAGATCCTATGCACAGCCAGGGTCTGCAATTCCCATGTGCTCCCTAGAAGAAGGTGACAGCTGAGAGAAAGAAAGGAGTTTGGCATTGATGTGGGTGCGTGGCTGATAGCAAGGCACACATGATGGTGTGGCTTCCAAATTAGGTCACAGACAGAATCAAAATGTTCTCCTGTTCTCTCTCCTAGATCATGTAACTGCAGAAAGCCAGTGGCCATGTGTGAGGACACTAAGGCAGTCCTCTAAGGAGCTGCCTGAGGCCTCCTTCCCAAAGCCAGGGAGGAGCTAAGGCCTTCTGCCCACAACCATGTCAGCTGCAAGTCATCCTCCCGACCCAGTTAAAGCCTCAGATGACTGCAGCCCTGGCTGAAAGCTGCTCTGCACCCTCCTGAGAAACCCCAAGCCAGAACCACCCAGTTAAGCGGCTCCTGTATGTCTGGCCGGCTGAAACTGTGAGATAATGCTTACTGAGGCTTCCAATTAATAAGTTTTTGGGGTAACTGGTTACACAGTAATAAGCAATACAGTAATCACCCCACATCATCCATGGTGCTAGAAACATTAGCTGGAGGTAAGGATGCCTTGTGAAATGTCTGGCAAGCTCTGAGCATCACAGTCCAGTCTTCAGGGGTTCCTGAATAAGGTCTCACCATCAGCGGCAGAGAACTAGTCACTGTTGAGTTAGTTCTAGGCATGCTACTGCATCCCTTCTAGCACTGGGAGCCTGGCCATTAGCCATCAAGTAACAGTTTGATCAAAGCTACTCCTCAGGAGCTGAGTGTATCAGACCCACCACGCAATAACGTTGGCCAGGTATAGCAACAATCCATTTCATGATGGAAATATTTAAACAGGGTCAGGTTTAAGCTAGTCCATGAGTTGCATAAGTATTAATTTTTAATTAGATTTGTAATAAGTTTAAGGATGGGATATTGTAATTTCCAGATTAACCACAAACAGAGTAGTAAAAGAATGTGTCGTTTGGTATTTTTAAGTTTATAATCACTTGAAAAGGATGAAAAGTGTATTCCAATTACAAAAATATGGTTAGGAATTTTTACTTAATCTCCTTTTAAATATTTCATTTGAATGAAAAGACTTGCTTTAAAATGCACTCAATACTGAACATTTTTACTCAATAATGAAGGGCTACTAAGTGTCTGAGATTGAAAAACACAGTACTTGGGGAGAATCACAAAATAGAAAAGACATGATTTTAGGTATATAACCTAAAACTCTACAAAATGGAAGATGCAACTGAGAGGGTGCTTTTAAGATATGTTGGAATAGTAAGACTGTGCTTAATCCTACAGGTTCTATATTTGAAATGTTTCTTAATAGCATCTACTTATATAAAAACCATGGGTGGTGTTCATCACATCCAGAAGAACTGCCGAGACCAAGCGAAAGGAAGTCAGTCCTGCAGGGGTTGTCTTGGCAACGGCTGCACCCTTCCTCCTGTTTCCCAGAGCTGTTTCCTGTAAGGGCGGGGTTTGAGGCAGGAATACGCCCTGGGAGTGTGGAGGCAGATCCTTCTAAAGTGTGCCACGTGCCAGCACAGCCAGGGATGAACCTGAGTGGGGGCAGCTGAAAGGCTTAGAAAAGACAGACAAGAGAATGAAAGCCAGGTCTCAGGTCTCAGTGGGATGCTGCTTCTCTGAGAGACAGCAACCATGCCCAGAGCCATGCCTTTATTTTATAGCAGATGCTACGAGACAAAGTAAGGGCATGACCAAGATGTTTGCAACATTCTCCTGGGTTTCAATCCTACTCAACTACATGCACCTGAACTCTATCAAGCCTACATCACTCAGGCACATAGGGCCACATGTTCGGACCATAGGATCAAGCTTACTACAGCTGTTGGCTATAATTGTGCCGGGAGGGCCCTGCCCTCCGAGTTGGGACTTGCACGTGGCAATGAGAGGACTGTGCCCTCTCATCAGTCCAAGGCTTGAACCTGTCCGAAACACTGTAGCGGCTCCCCACAATAAAGTTTTAATTCTGTTTCTGTTACTAATGTTGTGGCCCCACCCCATAACAAAGAAACAATTTCCGGAGATGAGGCCCAGGAATCAGAATTTTTAAAAGATTCTCAGGTGTTTCTAATGTGCAGCTAAGGTTGAGAACCACTGCTATAGATAATATTAAAAATATAGCCGAAACCGGTTTGGCTCAGTGGATAGAGCGTCGGCCTGCGGACTGAAGGGTCCCGGGTTCGATTCCGGTCAAGGGCATGTACCTGAGTTGCGGGCATATCCCCAGTGGGGGATGTGCAGGAGGCAGCTGATTGATGTTTCTCTCTCATCGATGTTTCTAACTCTCTCTCTCCCTTCCTCTCTGTAAAAAATCAATAAAATATATTTAAAAAAATATATATATATCTAAACGTGCAATTCTGTCCAAAAAATCAGCATGTTCAAAAATTAAATGAAGAAAATTTGGATATACTAAATGGAGATTTTCACACATATTTGAGTAATGATCCCATTGATTCCACAGATGATGCTGAAGAGAAAAATTTTCCCATCGAATTTAATAGTATTACTCCTTTGGGAATGCCGTTTCATAAATTAAAATTGAAAGTGGGTGCAATCATCATGCTATTGAGAAATCTCAATAGTAAACGGGGTCTTTGTAATGGTACCAGATTTATTATCAAAAGATTACGACCTAACATTATCGAAGCTGAAGTATTAATAGGATCTGCAGAGGGAGAGACTGTTCTGCTTCCAAGAATTAATTTATCCCCATCTGACACTGGCCTCCCATTTAAATTGATTTGACAACGGTTTCCCGTGATGCCAGCATTTGCAATGACTATTAATAAATCACAAGGACAAACTCTAGACAGAGTAGGCATATTCCTACCTGAACTCGTTTTTGCACATGGTCAGTTATATGTTGCTTTCTCTCGAGTTTGAAGAGCATGTGATGTTAAAGTTCTAAATACTTCATCACAAGGGAAATTAGTCAAGCACTCTGAAAGTGTTTTCACTCTTAATTTGGTGTACAGGGAGATATTAGAATAAGTTTAATCACTTTATCAATCATTGTTTGCATCACTGTTCTTTTTATAACATGTTTTTGTTGTTTTTATATCATGCCTCTGTTGTTATATCCTTTTGTTACTGTTTATTTATTAATAAATTTATATATGATTTTCATATACATTTTACTAATTTCCTTTCATCTCTCACACTTCTATTATAGAGAAAGGGCAAATAGCAATATTAAAATATCTCTGCTAATTAATTCCCCTTTTAAAAAAATATATATTTTATTGATTTTTTACAGAGAGGAAGGGAGAGGGATAGAATTAGAAACATTGATGAGAGAGAAACATCAATCAGCTGCCTCCTGCACACTCCCCACTGGGGATGTGCCCAGAACCAAAGTACATGCCCTTGACCAGAATCGAACCTGGGACTCTTGAGTCCGCAGGCTGATGGTCAATCCACTGAGCCAAACCAGTTAGGGCCATTAATTCCCTTTTAATGTGCACAAATTTCGTGCACCGGGCTACTAGTCTGTATGATAAAAGCCTAAGCGACCTTATGGCGGAACGACCAGAACGACCAGTTGCCATGATGCACACTGACCACCAGGGGCAGATGCTCAGCGCAGGAGCTGCCCCCTGGGAGTCAGTGCGCTCTCACAGGGGGAGTGCCGCTCAGCCAGAAGCTGGGCTCATAGCTGGCAAGCGCAGCAGACGTTAAGGAGCGAGGGGTCCCGAACTGCAAGAGGGCACAGGCTGGGCTGAGGGACCCCTCTTCTCCCCCCAGTGCACAAATTTCGTGCATTGAGCCTCTAGTATTGAAAAGAATTCTACATGGTTAAAAAAAAAATAACTGGAC